ATTGGAGATGAGCCCAGTGTTCCAGCCTCAGACAGCTGTGCCCATCCCCAGCTTGGCCCACAGGGGGTCAGTGCCTGCAGTGCAGTCTGCAGAGCTGGGCTAAGCCTCACCTGTCCCACAGTGAAGTATCATCTACACCGCTTCTTTCATCCCACCTTCCTAGATTTTTTTTTTTTTTTTCCAAAAGGATGAAGCATCTCCTTTTTATACCTTAGAGAAGCAGAGCTTTTGTTTTCCTACTGGTCAGTCTAGGCCTGTAAACCATTCTTCTATACTATTTCCTTCAGCAGCTTGTGCCCTTTAAAACTCCAGGAGAAGGGAGAGGGCCAGCAGTTCTCACTGCTTAACATGTGTGTACATATGTTGAGTCAGTTGAGACAGCTGCTTTTGTGCCTGCCAGTAGTGGTGCACTTTTTCATCTCCAGATAAGACATCATGCCTGCATTTGCCTAAGGTGCTCTGTCACAGATGTTCTTCTCTGGCACAGATGCTTTGAGACAAAGGAGATTCACAGCTACTTCTTCTACAGTTGCCTCTCCTCACATACTGACATGCCCTCTAACCCCGGCACCTGTGGCTCTTCAGAGATGCAGTTTAGTGGCTTTCCAATTTTTTGTGTTTTCCAGTTTTCATGATGTGCTGCTCCCAACATCAACAGAGGTAACATTGCAGGTAACATCTGATATTCAGACACGTACATATCCAGCTTCTATTCCCTAGAATAAACCAGGTAAGCTGTACCTGTGGTACAGGGATGCCATGGAATAGGGGTGGGATGAACAAAAGCTAACCTAAGAGAGTGTAGTTTGGCAGCAACAGTCAGGGACATATCTGCTGTTCTCTGCAGCATCAGACTAGGCAGCCCAAATGTGGCCTAAATTTCTAGGGCAAGATGAGATGTCTGATAAAGGAAGAGGGTGGGGACACCATTTATTTCCACCCCTTTTTCCTTATTCAACAGACTTTCCTTTGGAAAACCTTGGATTCCTAGTCACTCCTCCAATATTCGATATTTAATTTCCACTGCAAGACCTAAAGGCTCCTACGAGTCCCTTGCTGTGTAGACAAGTTTCCTTCCTGACAGTGCTCTTTAAAAAAACTCTGTGTTACCCAGTTCCTCTTTTGCAGTGGCTAGCTTTAGGCTAAGCCTGTCTTTTTATAAATGGCTAAAAGAAAAATAGAGTCTATAGAAACCGTAAGCTCAGCAAAAGGGTTTCAGAGGTTTTGCTGGCTGAGCTTTGGGTTTTAGGTACAGACGCTTCCCTTACAGTAGGATCCACGTCCTCATTCTGCCATTCACTCTCGATGGCCCTGGCTACTGAAATCACTGAAGCCAACTGAAATGGAAGCTTTGGCTGCTACAGTGACTGGTGTGTCTGCAGCACACGGACCTTGCACTCACCCTTGCCATTCGTACAGCCTGGCATTGCACAGCCATTCTCGGAGACACAGCTCCCTCAGGTGGTGCCTTTAACAGCTGTAAAACCTCCAGGAAAGCAGAGATGGAAGAAAACAGCAATGCAAGCATAAACCAATACCTACAAGTACTCCCTTCTCATACAAGTGGAGAAATCAGCATCCCACTCCCAGCAGGAATATTAACAGGAGCATCACGGGAGCATCCCAGGCCTACAGACCTTGCTCTCCCACTTGCAAGGCAGGGCGAGCCACCAAGGGACAGACAAGACACAACATCGTGAGATGAGGGATCAAGAGTAAGAACAGAGCAGGGGCAGAGCAGGGCAAGCCCCCAGTCCCCTGGCACAGAGTTTCTTTCTAGGAAAGGAGCTTAGTGAGTTTCCTCCCAGCAGGATCCTCCAGAAAACCTGCCAATAAACACAGGGTGTCTCTGGGGCACCAAGCCAAATAAGGAGTCGGCTGAAGCAGGCTTTGGGAAGAGCCCATCATGGAAGCACTTGAGGTGCATGCATGTTTCATGAAAGAAAAGCTGGAGACCAGGGTGCCCTTCCATAGGAACTTGTTGGCAAAGAAGAACTCCTTTATTTCATTCCCACTCTTCACAGAAAGCTCACCTTGCCTTTAACAGAGGAAGAGGGGGTTTTGTAACTCCAGCTGCTAACAGCAGCAGTCCTGGACATTTCATCCTGTGGCTCTTCAAGGGCTAGTTGTCGTAATGCACCAGCCTTACCACCTGTCCCCAGGCACAGAAATGCTGTTTTGGGATGCCTGCAGGCAGGTTTGTTTCAGAGCTGTTCCCCTCCAGGGGTTTGCAGTGGTCATGCCCACCACATGTATTCTCACACCCATCTGCTTTGCACCATGCTCGCTTGCCTGCCCCATGCCTCACAAAAGGTCTGGAAAGGAAAGCAGGTATTCGTGTGGGAGGCCAGGCAGCAGCCCAAAACACTTTCCTGCTGTTATTGTGTGGGCATAGAAAGCGTGTGGGAAATGCAGCCAATGAGCATCTCTATTGTGGGGTTATCTCTTCCTGTTATCGCATTTCAGATACACCGAAAGGCAGAAACTGTTGAACAATATCACCCAAACCAAAGGTGGGTGAGGCAGCAGCACCTCAGCGCTGCTGACAGCCAGATGGGCAGGATAAACGTTGCCCCAATCATTTGTCTGCCCTAGTCTTTGCTTTCTTCTTCCCTCTGCATGTATCAACTGGCAGCTTACTCTGGTGATGCAGGGCCAGGGAGGGAAAACAGGGCCTGCCAGCACTGTGAGCTCTGGGCTGATGGCACTCACCACATGCCCATAGAGACACTCAAAGAAGGGGGAGTTGGCATCAGCTGTGCACTTCCCCATGCCAGAAGGCAGCAAAGAGGTGTAGCACCTCTCTTCAACCCTGTCAGAGCCAGGGATCACTCCTGACAGCACTGGCAAAGGCTGCCAACAACAAAGCAACCCGGAGCAGGGCTTCTCGGGGTAGGCACGATCATGAGGCATGATCATGATCATGCTTTGAAGCCATGAGGGCACCGTGGAAGTCCCCTCTCCTCCCTTAGGCTGCCATGTGCATAGGTGGAGTCCTGAGGTGTCGTTTGAAGAGGAAAAATAAACTGCTCAGAGTGGGTGTTTCGTAGGAAAGGAAAGCCAGAATAGACAGCAATGCTGCAGCAGTGCTGCCTGGGGAAGGGCAACAGGAGGTGAGAACAAGGCAGCTGGTCCTCAGATTAAAAAGGGAGGGGGAAGCAGGAGGCCCAGCAAGGCACGCAATGCAGCCCCTGCCCAAAGGGTAAATCGCATTTCAGATGAGAGCTCTGCATGGAAAGACACATCCCAGGAGTGCAAATCAGCGTCTTTTCCCCATAGCATCATTTCAGCAAACATCCCAAAAAAGACATTTGTACTAGCCATGGTTTCCTTCTTGACCTTTTATGGGCTTAGAGTTTTATTTTAGAAATGAAATTATGTGGTAGCACTGCCTGTGCTAGAAGCCTGAAAACCTCCCTCTGGACAGGCTAATACCCAACTGACATACAAGGAGGTCTTGTCTACTTTACTAGAAAGGCCAAGCTTGGGCAGCAAGTGCTGCTGACACCATGTGGACTAATACTGGGATAGAAGATTTGTATCTTCTACACAACCAACCATTACTCTTTTGTGTGCCTGCTCAGCCTGCCCTTCTGGTGAGCACTGCAGGATCACAGCACGACTACAGACCTGCTTTGATCACGGGGCTGCACTTCCCTGCCATTCCTTCAGCACTGGCTCTGCAGCACACCACCAAGCAAAACTAATACCTAGGCAGCATAAACTGCATCTCTCTGAACAGGGAGGATAAAGCAGCACATGGATAAGGACAAGCCCAGCACGTCAGTCATCTCTTCTCATCTCCCTTAAGAAGAATGGGAAAAAACTCTGCACATCCTCTGACTCACTGGTAGATGCATCTACGAAAGAAGAACCAAGAAATGTTACAGCAAGCACCACCAGCACCAAGCACTTCCTGTTATTTCTTAGGCCCCAGTGTCAGTTCATTTTCCAGAACTGAAACATGCTCTACAGCATAAAAGGCTGAGATTTGAATGCTCCGTGACACACATTTCAGAAAAACTGCTGACTTATCAAGGAGGCACCAAGTGGAATTCATACTGTACAAGTATCACCCATTGCAGCATGTCAGGAACAAATATGAGACATCACAAAAACAATGGTGGCTGTCAAAGAAAAAGGCATCCATCAAAAACAAGTATTGCCCCATTTAGTTTTCCATTGCACAGGCATACTCTGTGCTCCTAGTACTTTCTTGCCTGCCTGACAAGGACTGTGTTTTGGTGTAAGTGCACCCAACAGGGCTAAATTCAGCTCTTTTTTATTTAGCTTCGAGCCTCTTGGCATGTAAGATGGAAACATTAAGATGAAAAAAAGGCCCATAACCCAGAAGGGTCCTCAGTGAGTTGGCTGAGGCTGGTTACAGCAACTAGGTGGAGGGCAGCATTAAAACACACACCTCCACACTTCACTCATGCCTACTGCTGTGGCCTCTGTCCTGCCCTATACTCAAGGTGCCCACTGGCAGCCCTGCTCCCCAGGAAGGTGAGCCAAGGGTAACTCTTGGGTGTGCTCAGCCCCCCCATGGCTTAAGCTGAGACAACAGAGGTTTCCACAGTTCATAGGGTTGTCTCAAGCACAGTCTTGAAGGCAGGTTTAGACCCGGTTTGGGACTTACAGTGGAAAAGCTTCTTTCCTCCCATTCCCATCCTGGGCATGACAGCTTTGTGCTGCCATTCCTTGCTGGAAGATCAAGCACACCTTTGTGCCGGGCCAGAGTCACCCTGACATCACCTCATACACACACTGGTCCTCCCCTGCAAGGAGCTGTGCCAAGTCTCACCCCACCAGCCCCAGAGAGGAGGGCCCCACACTCAGGTGGCAGCCAGTACCTGCCAGGGATGATGTGAAACCTCCTGCAACCATGATTCTGTGGCTCAGGGACCAAAACGGTTTTGTTGCCTCCTTTCTATCAACGTGAGATGACAGATGCTAAAAATACCAACCAGCACAGGTGTGAACTAAGATCCTCTCCATCCAGTCTTTTCTTTATTCATTCACTGCAGGGATATAGCATATGGTATGTTAAAAAATAAACCATGAAATGTTTACCAAGGGCAACTTTAACTGGTGAAAGCCCTAAAACAAGCTGCAGGAAGCTAAGGCAAGAGCAAGTAACACTCTCAGGGCTGTGCCCAGTGTGAGAGTTCTAAAGAAGTGACTGAGCTCTGGAGGAGTCAGAGACCTCCTTCTCCTTATACCTCCCTTCCCTTATACCAGAGGAGTATACCAGTCAGATTTCTGGGAAGAAACAAAGAATAGCTGGTTTATCTCCATGGGAATGTGTAAGATAGTCAAGCCTGCAAGAGGTATTATGCGTTCTTCTGCCTAACACCAACAAATTAGCTGGATGTCTCATACTCTGTGTCTCTCACAACTCTCCTCCTTCACCTGCACTTCCTCTTACACCAGATGGGCCAGTGTACCCATTCAATCATTGCTCTAAAAAAGACCTGTCCTCTCTTGGCCCCTCAGCTGTAGAGGAAGTTTATGAACATCTCCATGGACCAGAGGAGAGAACAGTGTCCCGCACACAGAGGGTAATGCAGGTACAGCTACCACAGTTCAACTTTTCCCTTTGAGAGGGAGGTCTTTCAGCAGCTCACTGTCATCACCTTGTTGTGAGTGAAGTGTTTTCCAGCAGAATCAAGAGACGTGGTCTCTTCACCCTGAGCAGGAGGCCCTGTGACAGAAAGCCATGACAATTCAGACAATGCCACCAGTAATCAGACTGCTTGGCAGTTCATAATGCTTGTTTCATGAGCCAACAGGTACCAGAACTCTTCTAGGAGAAAAAAATGTCTGTATAGCTAAACAGGCATGCTGAGAATAAAAGTTTGTTTTATTTGCCAACACAAAAACTGAGCTGAAACAGTCATTGGAGAGGCCGTGTAGCACGTTCCCCCAGCCCTCAGCAGGATGAGGATGCCTCACAGTTGTCTCATCCACCCTTTGAAACCCCCAGTGCTAGAGATCCTCTCCCAGAAATCTATTTCAATGTTTCATCTAGAAAAAAAAAAGTCCTGACATAAGTGTCCCTTGTTGCAATTTAAGCTCAGGGTTTCTTGTTCTAAACACAGTGGCAAAAGGGAAAGCTTATTCCTTTCCCACTCGTGTTTTTTCCCCACACAGGTGCTTCAAGGCTCTTATATGTCCTTTCAGTATTTTGTTCTCTGCAGTAGATGACATTGATTCTTTCAACTTCAGGCAAGCATTTAATTACATATAACTATTTTTTGGTCCAGGAGGTCGCATATTTGTGTTTGATGCTGAAGCCAGAGAGCTGTCCTAAGGAGTGGCAGGAGAAATATGCATGACAAAACCCTGCAAGATCCATGGGTCCATTTTGTCTCACTAGAGCTTTCACTTCCTCTTGATATCAGCCATCCAAAAGGCACAAAGGCAACAAAGTGCAGTAAAAAGTGAACCTCAGAAAGACAAAGGTTTCAAGGCTCAATGCTCCATACCCTAACATGGAGACACATGAAGAAAAATGGCCACAGGGATGAATGCCCATCACCTTGAATCTCCTCCACCAGGTCTCCTCATCTCCATTTGATGCCCTCTCTCTCTAATTTTCTGCAACAAAAGCTGTCGTTTCATAGCTGAGCATTACGCAAGGCTGGGCGGGAGGTGCTCCTGACTTTTGGAAACTTCCTTTCCCCAGCGAACGGCGGAGCAGACAGACGACCATCCCTCCTCCCGGGACGCACATTTAAGGTCTTTCTTTCGGGGTGTTCGGAGTGCGGGGCTGAGTGCGGGGCTGAGTGCGGGGCCGGGGCCGCGGGGGCTGTGGCTGCTGCTGCCCCTGGGGCTGCGGCAGCGGCCGCTGCTGCACCCGCACTTGCTTCGGGGTGGGAGCGCACGGCGTGGGGGGCAGCTCCCGCACCGCCCACTCACACTCCGCCTGCAGGGTCTTCATCATCCGCTGCTCATCTGCAACCACAGAAGGAACCCACAATCAGGCACATGCTACGAAGTCTTAGAAATGTCCTTGGCCCAAGCAGGAAAAAGCCAAATGTTGATCTTAACCTGCCCCTCTCAGGTGTTCCTGCTATCCCAGTGAATAAGAAAAATCACTTCTGCCTGCACATCCCGGGCAAACATGGAAGCTTTTTTCATCTGCCTGGCTGAGGTCAAGGTACCTAGAGCATTTGGGGCAGTTCTGCCCTGTCTGTTGAGGGAAACAACTTTGTCAGGGAGGCCCCAGTGGTCATCAGTAGCCTGAGCTGCTCTGTCCTCTTCTGGAGGCTACTGAAGGGAAAGTGAGATGTAACACCAGGAAGCAACATCAAAGCACTCTGCCCTGCCATTATCCGTGCTGGGATTTCCAGACACCTGGAAGTCAGAAATCCCTTTTCCCAGCATTAATTTTCTCACATACAGAAGAAGTTAATTCACACCAGCTACCTTCTGATCACTGACTCATCATTCTGAAATGCCGCTCAGCTTAGTTTAGGGGATTGAGGGATTTGCCTCTTGGGACACTGAGCACACACCAAACTGTTTTGAAGAGACTAGTCACCCTCTTACATTAGTTCTCATTTCCCCAGACTTGTTTTCCTAATTCTTGCCGAATCCAGACCCAAAAACTGAGGATATGGTGTCGCTGCACAGTTGAAGGAGTAATCTATACCACTCAAATGGGAACAGCTCACACCCAGCATTGTGCTCACATTGTGCAAACCTTCTGAGACAACATGCTGTGGTTGCAGTGCTGTGAGCTCTCCCAGAAAACTGGAAAGCACTTGCCTGTTCTTCATAGTCACAGCTTTAGGGAAAGCAGGAGAGCCATGGAAAGTTACCCATGCTCAGGTGTGGTGAGGTTGCTCTCACCTCAGCCATGGGACTGATCACGCTCACCATTGTTGTCACCTGACCATTGGCATCTTGGAGGTATCAGCTGAGGTTTCCTTCAGGCATTGCCCACTTTATCTAGACAAAGACTGCTGTGGTGTACACAGCAGCTTCTACTCCCATTTTGTGGCTCAAGGACTGACTGAGACAGAGACTAGCTGTTATCTGAGACCACACAGGAATTGTGACAGTGTGTGAGGGAAGGACTCAGAAAAAAGCCTTTAAACAGCCTATGTCAGGGTAACCTCCCTCCTGCTTTCGCCTCCAGGTTGGCCAGACAACTCTTCTTGAGCAGGAGCTCAAGTGTCCTCTGCTCACCCAAACTAGCAGTGACGCCCAGGCTGTGTGTAATTCAAAGCAACCTCTCTGTCAAGTCTGAGAGCCCCCTCAGAGAGGACTCTGACAGAGTATTTCCTGTGGTCTGAAAGAGGCATGAATTTTGGACAACAGATGAGACCTCTGCACACTCTGAAAACTTCAATACTTTAAAAGTGCCCCAAGCTGGACCTCCAGTGCTGACAGGCCTCCAAGGACATTGTTTGTAGAGAGGACAAGTGCCTGAGGAAACACATAGAAAACCTTGCGCCTGCTCACTGTCTGCACCGTCTCCACGTTATGGAACCAGAGTTTATACCACATAAATTTAATGAAAGAAAAACTGCTGACAGGATATCTAAGTGTATATTTTAGCCCCATAGATGCTCCTGACTGGTGACCCTGGCTAAGTTTTAGAGGAGCAGTTCTTCCCCTACAAATAAACAAAAGGGCTTGAGAACAAGAAGTGCTTTGTTCAAAGCATTTATCAGAAAGTGAGACTGGCAATGCCAGCTGATCTGCTCAGATTCACCATATACTAAAATCAGGTTATTGCTCATGACAAGGCAGAGAGCACAATCCTGACCACAGGGAAGTTCAGTGGGAAGCTCTAAGATTTTAGGTGTCTGGACAGACACATAAAGCCCCTTAAACACTTACCGTCACCTTCACGCCGTTTTGCTTTTCTCCTCCTGATACAATAAATAAGCCAAATCACAAAGATGACAAAAAAGACTGCACCTCCTGCTATGCTTAAGATGAGATAAAGGTCCAGCTTACCTAGTTAAGAGGATGAAAGAGGATGTTAGATAGAAGGAAATAACTTGCACAACGTCTGCTTAGAATTCTGTATTTTCTTCCATTGACTCTAAAGGCAGAGCATGCCTTTTCTGGAGAATTTTGATTGCTCCATAATGGATTCAAGTTCTGCAGAAAATTGAAACCAGAGCATTTATGTGTGCCAGCTCATCTTATTTAAATGACCACAAATGCCTGGTTCTTGCTAACAATGGACCCATTTATGGACAATGAGCATCCAGGCTGTACTCAACCTCTCACAAAAATAAACTTCTTAAGTACTTTCTACTGAGCTGGAAACACTGACACTAGCTTGCTTCACAGTATTTTGGTACTTCCTCTTCGATTTTCGGCTGTATACAATTTAAAAAAAAAAAAAAAAAAAAAAAAAAAAAAAAAAAAAAAAAAA